GACAAATATGATAAATATGAGTACACAGAAATCTGTACTTCTGTTCAATAAGTGACATCATACAAAAGTGAAAACATAAGCCACAGACTAGGAGAAGGTATTTGTGGTCCATCAAACTGACAAAGAATTAATATCTGGAATATAAATGATTCTTATAAATCATTAATAAAAAGAGCGGTGACCACAGAAAAACTGGCATGGGATATGAATGGGTAATTCACAAAAGGGGGAACTCAGATGGCCACTGAGCATAGAAGAGAGATGCTCAATCACACTAGTAAACTAAGAAATGCAAATTAAGACAGTAAGATGTAATTCCATGCCAATCAGATTGGCAAAAATTAAAAACCAAATAAACCCAAAAGGATATGGGGAAATAGTAATGGAAGTTTAATTACAAGTGCTTTAGAGTGCAGCTTAGGAGGAGACTCCATTGAAGACATGCAGAGTCCAAGAACCTAGCTATTTCTCCTCCAGGTACTGGCTCTAGGTGATCTTTGTACAGGTTTCTAAACAGATATGCACATATATGTATTGCATCATTATTTGTAATAGCAAAGAAGTGGAGCCATCTGAACTGTCTCTCAGGTGAATAGATGAATAAACTGACTTATGCATATACTCCAATACTATAGAGCAGTAAAAACAAGTCAATAAGGATAAATATCAAAAACAATGTAGAAAGGGTGCTTACAACACCCTTATGTTTATTTTAAACACCCCCACCAAAAAGGTTTGAACATACCTGGGAATGAAAGCATAGCAACTTTGGCCAACATATAACTACAGGAGGAAGTGGATGAAAGAGACGGACGTGGGCAGAGTAGGGTTTTAGGAATATCTAACACCTTTCCTTTCCAAGAAAGAACAAAGGGGAAGAGAAAGCTGAAAGAACATGCACAAACAATACAGTAAAATGAAAGCATCTGCCTATGTTGCTTCTAGAACCTGCCTCTCTGTCATATAACATTCAACAGTGTTCTGCAAGCTTGAAATATGTCATCATTTGAACCATTATTTTGAAAAGAGATCACATTTGGAACAAATGTATAAGTCTCATGTGACATAATCAAAAGACCCTTGGATACTGGGTCGAACAAAACCAGGGCCCCCTGCCCCTATCACCCATCTGAGCTGCTGAACTTGATGCCAGAGATTCTTCATGCTTTCCAAAAACTAAAGCCCTCTACCCAGAATCAGCCTTTGTCGGCCTGGAGAACATTCACAAGAATCTGCCACACACTCTGAGGGCAACTGAAAAAGAATTCAGGAAATATTTGGAGCAATAGCAACATCAATAGTAGCATCAAAGAATTACATCAATCCCAAGGTCACCACTTTGAAGAGAGCAAAATCCATTTATTGTAAGTCTGATTTTTTTTTTTATTCAACAGCAGCAACTAAAGTCATTCTTTCCTTGACTGTCAATGTTATCCAATATTGGAGTCCAGGCACTGCACTGAGAATACTCTCCGACTGGATGTTGATGCCAGTATCATAAATTACACCACATCCTTACAAAGAGTGTGTCATTCTGACAGGGAGGTTGTAAATTACTGCAGATCCTCATATCAGCCATGGGGGATTTACCTAGGTATTTTGCTCAGAAAATGGGAAACTTGTTAATCAAACACTAAACCCCATGGGTCAGCAGAAAGGAAACACTTTTCACAGCAAGATCAGCAGATCCAGCAGCTACAATAAGGACATAACTTACACATGGGAGCGGCAGAGGAATTAAAGGACATGACCGGCATCAAGTGAAGGATTCGCTTTGAGCACGCCCTACTACCTTATTTCTGAATCTGTTCCCCCTCCAATGCAACGTAATCAGGAGAAAGCCTAAAACACCCAGCTTTGCAGACAGGAATTTTATTGTCAATTGTCAGCCCTGCAAACAACACTTTCATTGTCTTTACAACATACATTGCAATACCTTCAACAAAGCACAGACACCCTTGCTCACCAACATTTTATTTGTTTCACGATTGTTTACCGAGTGCCTGCTATGGCCAAAAGCTGGACCAGTGCGCAAATCGTGAGTTCATCAAGTCTGTGGTAGATGAAATACATTGATCACAAAATAAATGGCAACCTCTTTATAACAAGACTTTTAATTCTCCCAGATTTGTCAATATATGATTCTTCCTATCAAATGGCTCCTATTTACCTTTTAAATCTTCAAGTTTTTCCCATTATCTCTGTACATCCCCACCCACTGAGATTGTTGTGTTCATGCTTCCTGGCTATCAGAACTGGTAAAATGGAGTCTATATAAAATATAGTTCAGTTGGTAGAGTGCTTGTCTCACATGCACAAGGCCCTGGGTTCAATTCCCAGCACCAAAAAAAAAAAAAAGGAGTTTTTCATATGTCATTCACCTTACTAAAGAACATAATATGCTTTATTTTACAGAAACTGTTTTAATTTTAATTCTAATTATTAGTGTATATTAATTGTACAAAATAATGGGAATCATTGTGACAATTTCATAGGTGTATATAACATACTTCAATCATATCATCTCTCCCTATTTCCCTTCCTCCACCATCTCTAACCCCCTTTCTTAATAGTGCCCTTTACTTTTATGTTTTTCTAGATTCCATATAAGGGGAGACATTCCATATTTGTCTTTCTGAATTTGGCTTGTTTTGCTTAATATGATGTTTTCCAGAAAATGATATGATTCCTTTCTTCTTTATGGCAAATAATACTCCAATGTGTCTATACCACAATTTCCTTATTCATTCATCCACTGTTGTCCATGTAGGCTGATTCTGCAACTTGATTATTGCGAACTGTGCCATGATAAACATGGGTATATAGGTATTTCCATTATATGCTGACTTTGGTTTATTTGGCTATATACACAGAAGTAGTGTAGTTGGGTCATATGGTATTCTATTTTAGTCTTTTGGGAAAACTCCATCCTGTTTTCTGTAGTGGCTGTAATAGTTTATATTCCCACCAACAGCGTTTAAGTGTTCCTTTTTCCCAGCGTCCAGCATTTGTTATATTGTCTTCTTGATAACAGTATTCTAACAGGTGAGATGGAATCACAATGCAGTTTTCATTTGCATTTCCCTGATGGATAAAGATGTTGAGTTTTCTAAAGTATATTTTTGGACACTTGTACTTCTTCTTTTGAAATGTGTCTATTGGGCTCTTTTGCCCATTTATTAATTGGATTACTTGGGGACTTTTTTATTGTTGCTATTTTGGGGTTCTTTATACATTTTGAATATTAGTCTTCTGTCAGATGAATAACTGGCAAAGATCTTCTCCCATTCTGTAAACCATTCTCTTCACTGTGTTGGTTGTTGTTGTTTGTTTGTTTTGTCTTTTTGCAGGAGCTACTTAATGATTAATATTTCTTACTAGACAAAGGAACAATCCTAGAAAAAGTTGCTAAAAATATTTATTTATACAAAAGCTATCACTTTTAATTTCTTTCCACTTATTAAGTCATTTAATTATCTTAACAACCCAGCAATATGGTTATTTTTATCCCCAATTTACAAATGAGGGGAAATGAAGCATAGGAAGGTCACAACTTGCTCAAAGTCACAATTCAAACTCTGGTGCAAGCTCTTCACTGTCACACAAAATTCCCATAAAGACTGCTATAGTTTGGCTCTTGACGGTTCCCCCAAGTCCCATGTATTAAAGTCATGGTTCTTGGCCTGTAGTGCTAATGGGAGGTGGTGAAATCTTTAGGAGATGGGGAATGGAAGGAAGTTAGGTCACTGGGGCATGCATGCCCTTGGAGGGGATATTGGGGCCCTGGCCTCTCCTCTTCCTCTCCCTGTTTTCCAGCTGCCATGAGGTAAATAGTCTTCTTCCACCATAACATACTTTCTGCCATAACACACTGTGCTATCACAGGCTCTAAGCAAAAGGGCAAGGTGACCATAGACGGACACCTCTGAAACTGTGAGTAAATCAAGAGAAACCTTTCTTCCTTATAAGTTGATTATCTCAGATATTTTTGTCATGGTGATGGGAAGCTGCCTAATTCAGAAGTTGGAGGTAACACCTTAATTCCCAAAGGAAGACATCATAATTTTTAGGAGTCTCTTCTAAGAAAATATCATGGATACATAAAATATGACTAGTAACATATGTTCAAAAGAACTGTTTATAATAGAAGAAAGAGAAAACCCAAAAAGCCTAAAAATCCAACATCAGACAAATTAAGTATCTAAACAAATTTTTTTTATGTCTTCATATGATAAAGTCATTAGAACATGGGGAAAATATTTGTTATCAAAAGAAATGTTCACAATATTTTTTAAAGTGGAATGAGCAATGTACAAAAGTTAGACAAATTAAAAATATAGCATCATCTTTCCTTTTTAAAAAGAAAACCATGCTTGTATATCTAGAAAACTAGCTGGAAGGGAATTACAAAATATTGATAACCGTTATTTCTGAGTGCTCATATCACTGTGATTTTAATTTATTAACTTTTACTTATCTAAATTTTAAGAATGTTCTCTCCAAATCAAAAGCCCAATTAAATGAAAAGTGTCACTTCAATTACATATTTAAAATTAATATTGAATTGTAAAATGCCCAGTGATGCACAATTGTTATTAGTCTCCAGATCATTCAGGTTGTGTTCCTCACTCAAAAATTGGAGCATGCACTTCTGATACATGAATATTTACTTATTTCAAAGTCACATATATTCTAACTTTATAAATATGACTATGTAACTTTGTTAAAAATTCTTTATATACATTCTTAAATTTCATAAGGATAGCATCAGTCAAAGTTCAACTATTTTCAAATCCCAGTGGATTTTCATCCCCAAACCCTGAGTCACAATAAGCATAAACACTGCCCTGTGTCATCAGAGCACTGAAGACACAGCAGAAAGGAAGAGGGTCATCCCTGGGAGGGATGAGACCAAGGGGAAGCCTGCAGAGTGGGGGAGGCTCAAGGTGAGAGAGTGTGACAGATGCCCACACACCTGTTTCTTTTTTTTTTTTTTAAAGATTTTTATAAGTTTTTATTTAAAAGATTCCCTTTAATCTGTTCCAAAGTGTTGGAAGCCGAACTGTTACAAGCTCCTGCCATCCACCTTCCAATATAGCTTTTGAGGATATATATGTTAATGGAAAAATAACAAGAGGACCCTCTACTGAAACCAGATAGGACCACCGTTAGTTCCTCAGGCCCCAATGGCAGTATGGCCAAAGCTGGCCACATGGAGCAAGCAATGTGGGCAACAGGCCCCCATCCTGTAAGGAAGGTGTGGGCAAATTCATGTTCTCCTGTAGTAAAAATGGTCAGATTCAGATACGAAAGCCTCCATTATGATGTTCCCTGGCACTCTTCTTACTTACACTTTAAATATCGAAGGCAGCTCCCTCTTTTATGGCCAGTTTAGCAGGCAGAGAAACAAAGAAATATAGATACATATATGTGTGTATATATATATTTTATATAGGTAAAATATATACATATTTAATATATGTATATATACATATTTGAGGGTAGAGGAAGGAGAAGAGGATCATGTAAACCTAAACAGTCATCACATTACCCCAAATGAGCCTGACATTAACAAAAAGATAATAAATAACTCCTAGGGGTTAAGTGACAACATGGGTGCAGCAAGAAGGGAAAGGGCACATTTATTAAATACACTTTGACATTTGTTTGGCAGAGTTCAGACCAGCCCCAGGCTTCTGCACATGCCAGACAAGTAAGCTAGCTGATGACACTCAGAAAGGGAAAAAAAAAAAAAGATTCAAGCAGAGCTCCATACCACAGTTTTCCTTCAAGTCAGCTGGCCGGCAGGCACAGTCTTCCAACCACCAGGAACAGAAACTTTGGCTCCAAGACAAATGAAAAACAAAGTATTTCCACTTAAAACATGAAAATACAGAAACTTCATCAAAGAAAGAAAACTATCAAAGAAGTCAACTTCCAGCAAAACTGAGGTAGCACTGCTTTCTCTGCATTCAACGCTTAAGTGGTTCTCAGTACAATGTGTTCTAAAAAAAATGAAACTGCTCACTTGACTGACAGGTGCAGCATGTTGATGGATAAACTCAACATGAAATGCAATAGGTCAAAGAAGGAATGAGCAAGAAGTGAGGGAAATAGGGATTTTGGATAAATTAGCTTAAAAGGGGGTTGTCACCAGACTGCAAATGCTCTTGATTGGCCTTGGCTCTCCAAGAGCTCTCAATTGTCTGGAAATTAATGCAATGTGGTTAACAGTTAACACTGCTATCAAATCTGGGTAAATCTTTAAAAATAATAATTACAAACTAACTTCAACCATGTAAACAGCACTACACACAGTACAGACCTGCCCTGAAAAACAATATGCAAAACTGAGATCTGGCACTGTATCATTTTGTAATGTTAATTCAACCTAACAGTCCCATTCTCCCCACCCGGCTCTACACCCTCCCCCACCCCCAAAAAACCAAAAAAACCAAAAACCTAAATTTGTGCAAGAAATGGCAGGCTTATTCTATCTGAAGGCTTCAAAAAAAGAAGATACACAACATGTAGCCAGGTTCAAATATTTTGGGGGATTCCCCCCCAAAAAAAGAAATAACCAAAATAACCAAAAATGAAGAAAGTGCCTAAAACATGATATAGCATTTTAGAGCCCTTTCAGATACAAGGCAGAGAAAGGTGTAAAGTAGAAAATATCCGGATCTTCGGTAATTTCCAGAAAGGTCCAATTCCTCGTTTGGCTGCAGGGCAGCAGGCAGATCCTTGCTGCTGCTCCTGGAACAGAGCCATTAAGTCTGCTCCTCGGGACACAAGCCCTCGGGCCCTGAGCTGAGTGTGCCTCTCCCTTCTCCTTCTCGTTTCCTTCGTTCCATTTCCCACTCCACAAAGGTATCGAAGAGACTTGGCCAGGCCTCATCTTCACTGTAGTTGCTGAGGTCGGGGCCAATCACCTGAGTGAAGTTAAGGAACATGTTCCAAGTGTCCCGGGAGATGCCCTTGATCCCCGAGGGGTTCTCTGTTAAGAAGTTTAGCCATTGGTCCAACACAGGAGGATTGTTCTGGGTAAAGACTAGTTTCCACAGGGCAATGGCTATTTCCCGATGCAGTGACCGCTGCCCTTCTTCAGAGTCCAGGCCAAACTGAAATGTAAACCTGTAGAGATCCTTGAATTTATCCTCTTGTTTGGCTTCTATTAAGAGGCTAGGGAACCGTGCACAGATCCCGTCAATGCTGTCTGCACTTATTGCTTTGCAGCCATCAAAAAACTCCTTCCTGGTAAATTTGCACATGGTAGCAGCCTGGAACTTCCAAGCCAAGAGCAGCACTCGAAATTCTGTGGGGTCGACACACAGGTCATTGCAAAAGCGCTCCATGCCTTCCTCCAAAATTGCATCCTCCCGCTCATCCTTGTAGCGCCTAAACAGTTCTTCCAGTCTCTGCAAGGAAGACTCCTCAGCATTGGACTTGGACTCCCTCCCAGCATCTCCGGAGGATGTTGGCAGCTGGCAGGCTTCAGTGGCAGCTTCGGCTTTCTTGGTCCCATTGACGAGGATGTCCCCACCTGGCTTACCACAGGGTGGCACCTGTTCCTCACGGTGGCTTGCCCCTCGCCTGCTGTGTGACTTGCTGCTGGGGTCCCGGTCTCCATTCTTGCTGCCCAAGGTTGATGAGGGATTCTTGCACTTGGTGACACACTGGCCCATGGTGGTGGTGGCCTGGCCTCTAGAGTGGCCCCCTCTGGATTGGATGCCCTCGCTGCCACTGGCCCATGTACCTCAACATGCCATCAGCCAGAGGAGCCAGCCAACAGCTGCTCCAGAGGTTCCTCCAGTCAAACCCTTTCTGGAAACGACGGCGGCTCGGCGGGTCCAAACCACCTACCATCCCCGTTCGCGTTTCCAGGTTCCCTACCCCCGCCGCCGCCGCCTCTTCTTCCACCACTGCCGCCGCCTCCTCTTCATCTCCACACACCTGTTTCTTAACACTCCTGGGTTTTGTTTCACGTTCAGTCTGTAGAATTGCCTTCAAAGCTGTATTCCACTCGCGGAATCTAATTCAAGGAGGCACCATGAGCAAAATGGAAGCAGGAAAGGAAGGGGACAAAGCTTACCTTCCCTCAGGAAATAGTCCTGGGGAGTTTGCAGATGATGCCCCAGTGGGCAAGGATTTCACTTTGGAAAGATCCATCAAGCCCATGGTATATGTGTTGGAAAACAGGCCTAGAAAAGGTAGAGAAGGCACCCCTGGAAAGGACAGGTGATTCTCTGACCCCAGGGGAAAAGCAAATTAAAAAAAAAAAAACTTAGATAGAAAGGAGATACATGAGAGATCCTGGAAACTAATAATCAAGGTTGTGTGCAAAGACAGAGGAGATTTAAAAGGAGGTAAAAGGTTTCAATAACTACCAAGAGGTGTGCCATGGGAATCAGTGAAGGGTATGTGTGTGTGCATATGTGTGTGTGTGTGTATGTGTGCATGCACAACCACACACTTCTACGCACATCTTTTAATGAAATTACTTTTTAAAAAGAAAAAATTGTAAATTATTCAAAAAAGTCTACTCCTAGAATATACTTTGGGTTTTCCCACATTGAAGTCATCAGCCTGACTGGTTGCTATATTTGTATAAAAGTCTATTTCAAGACAAATTGAGGAAGTAAGGATGTCGGGCTCAATGTATAATGAAAAGTTCATTCATCTGAACTTTTCTCAGGGTAATCACATGATAGAGTAAGAGGCAATACTCAGTGAGGAAATATAAATATCTTATAAAGCCCTGAAACACTTGGTAATTAATTTTTCAGCAGGAAGAACTTTGTATCTTAAAGGTAAGAATAGCTAGCATCACCATGGTATAGAAGAGAGAGAGGGAAAACACACACACACACACACACACAACATACAAGAAGATAGTAACTGAGAAAAGCCATAGTCACACATTATTTCTTATACCCGTGGATCTTATTCAAATAGGAATGAACCCAAAAACTCTTAGGCAGATCATAAAATTCTTCAAAAGCAGAAACATCATCAATTCATTCAACAAATAAATTTCTTTAACACCTATCTTCACCCATTTTGTGTTGATATCTTATCAAGAAAAGACATTCATTTGGTTCATGATTCTGGTGGCCTGAAGGTTCAAACAGCATGGTGTCAGCACTGACAAAGAGACTCATAACAGGGAAGTGGGAAGGGGACAAGCATGTGAAGTGGCCTCAAGTTACACCAACTGGCTCTTAAGAGAATTCATTCCTGTAAGATCCAACCCACTCCAAAGAGCTGCATTAATCCATTCCTGAGGTCCCATGACCCAATGTCCTTCTAGTAGGCCCCACCTCTGAAAGGTTCTGTCCCCTCAAGGTGGCCACACTGGAGTCAAGCTTCCAGCACATGAGCCTCTGGAGGACACACTCAGCTCATATCCTAGCCATAGAGCACCTGTGTTCCAGACACCAAGCTAGATGCTGGGGAGAGAGAAATGACTGGCTTCCTAGATTAGTTACTTATTGCAAACTATTCCAGAACTCAGTGGCTTTAAATAACACACATTTATTTTCCCAATTTCTGAAAGTCCAGAATCTGGGAGGATCTAGGTGCTTCAGGCTGAGGGTCTCTGTGGGGTGGGGGTGGTCCTCAAGCCCACTCTCAGATTCAGGTATGGCTAGGAGGATTCACAGGATTCACACAGTTTTACTCAGGGCCATGATTCATTACAGCAAAACAAACGGCTATTAAACCAAATCAGAACCTTGGCTCTTTGCTGAGTAGGAAACCAGCTACAAGCTCCCAAGGGTCCTCTTTCCATGGAATCTCACAGGATGGGTTTAATTCCTGCAGCAACACATTGTGACGACATATAGCAAGTGTTGTCTACTAAGATGCTCATTACAGAGTCAGTGCCCAAGATCTATGCTGGGGGCAGCCTCAGATATACTTCTTCTGCCTCAAACATATCCAGATTCCAGATTTCCAGATGGATAGCAGGTATCCAGCATAAATAATTTTTTTTTCTGTCGAAGCACACAGAGCCACTTACCTAACCTCTAGGGAATTACGGGGATCCTCCCGTCTAAATCCAAATTCCCCGGTCCCAACCAAGAGCCAATATTGCCAGCAGGCCTTTCTAAGGATGGCAGTCTCAGGCCTCCAATAGCAGTTCTGTTTCTACTCAGCATCTCTTGAGCTTGCAGACCAACAGTAGGTCCAGCTGCATTTTCTGAAGGCTTGACTGGAACTGGAAGTATACTTATGAGAAAGCTCGCTTGCATGGCTACTAGCTGGAAGTTCTGCACCATATGGGCCTCTACAAAGCTGCCCCAGTGTCCTTCACTTGTGACAGCTGGCTTTCCCCACAATGAGTGATCCAAGAAGTAAAAGACCATGTCTAAAACAAAAGCTGCGGTCTTTTATTAATCCTGAGAGTGGCATGCTCCCACTCACTTCCACCTTACGCTATTGCACATGGACCAACCCTGGTATAACTTAGAGGGGGAGGGGATCAGCCACTCTGAAGCCCTGGAGTCAGGGGTGGGGCTTGGAGGCTGCCCTCCACAGCTCACCTTCTTGCTCCCAAGGATTCAAATCCCTCCTATGTGCAACACACACAGTCCCCCAAATTCTCATCCCTTTACAGCATCAGCCTCAAGTTTAGACTCTGTTCTTTTAAGTCAGGTCTAGGATCAGATGAGGCTTGTCAGGTGTAGTCTCTGACATCTTTTCAAGGATGGTTCCTCCTGACCTTTAGGCACCTGCAGCTAAAAAGACAAATGTCTCGTCCCAATACCAACACACAACATATGATGGTGGGACAGGCACAAGATAAACACTGTAAACACTCTCACTCATGAAGGAGAGATGGGGGACAGCAGTTCTGAAAAAGGTTCTTGGTTAGGTCTCTCATGGAAGCCAAGGAATAATTCTCTTAGCCACATTCTCTGGACTCTTGGTTCTACCTTCTCGGTCATCTCTCCTTTGCACGAAAGGTAACTGGGCTTTCAGCTGAGTAGCTTTCTCCGCCTGCTTCCTCTTGGCTGACACTCCGTGTTCCAAAGGAGCTTCCTCTTATTCTCTCCAGAGCCCTTTCGCTTTGAGCTAATGGGTTTTCTTCAAGTTTAACTCTTTAAACTTGGTAGGACTTCTGTGAGTCCTTTTAGGGTTCATTTTACCAGACAAAGGCCACAGTCACAAATCTCTTTGTAATAGGGCCTTCTTTATGTTGGACTTCTACTGAGATATAGTGTCCTTAACTTCCTAGAAGTGTATTGTTGGGCAGAGGATTGGAAAGCAAACAATCCCTTGCGGGGGCTTTTGGTCTGACTGAGTAGTAGTCTAAGACACCATCTTTGATTTTTTTTTTTTTTTTTAAGATCTGAAGAAAAGATTTTACAATCACATCCTTGGCTTCGTGTTTGGAACTTATTTTCCTTTAAGTGTCCTGAATTTGATCTTTGCTCAGAAGCTATTTCTTAATTTTAACATCAGGTGCCACATGGAGCGGCTGGGAACCTTCAAAACCAGCAAGTCCTGACTCTTTTTTTTCTCAGCATCTCTCTCTTCTTGTAATTTTACTAAAAGCAACAGCAAAAAATCCAAAAGCACTCTCAACAGCCCAGCTAGAAATCTCCTTAACAGTGTCATCAGTTCTTTAGCCACATTTTCTACTTCCCACATACTGCAGGTGATGGGATTGCTAAGTTTATTTTTATTTTTGTTATTTTATTTTTTGCCACTACATAACAAGGATTCTCCTTTTTCTGATTTCCTATAAGATTTTTCTCATTTTCCTTTAACTTTTCACTGGCAGCCTTCTCAAAGTCCAAACTCCAATGAACAGTGTATTCCAGCCTTTACCTGAATGCTCCTCAATCTTTACTGTTTCCCCACTGCCCACGGCTGTTCAACGACCCCAGCACATTTCAGGGTTTATTTTTTTTTTCTTTTTCTCCATCAGCACCCCACATCTAGTGCCAAAATCTGAATTTGTTACATACTGACATGTGAAAAATTACTCCAAACCTCAGAACTTAAAACAACAAATGTGTATTGTCTCCCATAGATTCCGAGGGTCAGGAATCGGGAGCCGGTTGGGTGGGTGACTGACTCCGGGTGTCTCAGGAGGCTGTAATCGGCTGACGGCAGGGCCTGTAACATCTGAAGACTCAAGGAGCAGAAGACCTGCAGATCTGCACCAGGCTCACATGCATGTTTATTGCCGGCTTCTGTTTCTTACTGACTGTAGCTACAGGGGCCTCTCTACCTAAACTGGCTGATTGCTCTCACAGTGTGGCAGCTGGCTTTCCCCAGAGTGGGCCAAGAGGAAGCACCCAAGATGAAAACCTTAGTCTTTTATAACCTAATCTTGTAAATGGCCCATGATCACCTCTGCCATCATCTTTTGGTCAAGGGCATGAATTCCAGGAGGTGGGGTTCCTTGGGGGACATGTTGGGAGCTATTCGGAGGCCTTACAGGAAGATAGACATCAACAACTAATTATAATAAAATGTAACTGGAACCATAATAAACTTGTGGAAAAGTCAGCACCAGTTCTCCCTGGGAGAGTCGGGATGGGCGGGCACCTCAGAGGAAGTCCAATTTAGGGCCCCAAGGGATAAATGAGACTTGTCAGACCCACAAAGAGCTTCCAACTGTGGAAGTGTTACCATGCATTTTCCTCCATGCATATCCTACCCACCTGGTAAATTCTACAGCCTCAAAGTCTTCCCAGGTACACAGACGGAACGATTTAATTTAATATCAACATTTTTGGAGGATCCATTACCATTCGATAGATGAATCAAAAAGCCATAATGGTAGATGCTGGGTACCATGCTTAGAAAGACCTCATCTAAAGGTTAAGCTTTACTTAAGAAAAATAATAATGATGACTAAAGCAAAAAAAAAAAAAATGAACAGTTGAGTAATAAATGGGAGAAAGGAATATTTGCTCCTAGTTG